GTCTGATTTCTTTTTAATTATAGGAAATGCGTTTTTCTAAGGCACATAATCTTTTGGGATTGACTGTATAGCCAATACATCCTTAAATTACCTCTGTATAAATATTTCTGTATGCATAATTTGATTAATCTCGAAGAATCATAAAATCGAATTAAATTTTTACATTACGAAACAAGTGAAAAATGATTAATTCTTAAAATGAAGATTTTTAACAAATCGAAAAACGGATCGATAATTAGAAATTTCAATCGAGTTTGATGTGATACTTTGAAGATGCGATGGATCAGCGAGGAATTATCGCGGAGGAACTCGCTGCGCGGTAACGAGGCTATTCAATCGCCGACGAGGAAAACATTGCCTCTGGACGAGGTGCCTATGCAATGCTCACGTACAATCAATAATCTGTCAATGGAGACTGGTCCACTGCCCCGAATAAAACGACTTCCCGATCAAGATGATGACAATCCCCGTACAGACGAACAGACGCCGCCCTTGAACGGGCATGGGAGCACGACCGGTAACGCGAGGCTGAAAGCGATTTTCATGTTCTTCGAACCCCAAGGTTGCCTTAAGGAACGCGATGATTACTCGCTCTATCTTTTTCCATCGAACAACAGGTAGACTTAACGATTATTACTAATTAGTAGATTGTGGATTTTATGTGTTTCTACAAAAATCCGCGGTGTATTAATTAGAATTCAGGTATTGGCGATGTAATGATTGATACAACGTTAAATCTATTCTAGGTTCCGCGTTTTATGTCGACAGTTGGTCGAAAAGAGGTGGTTCGATAACGTGGTCCTTTTTTTCATCGGTCTCAATTGCATCACGCTGGCGATGGAACGGCCGAACATACCACCCGACAGCGGGGAAAGACTTTTTTTAGCAACTGCTAACTATATTTTTACCGGGGTGTTTGCTATCGAAATGTTCACCAAGGTGAACATGATAAGATATAATAAGATAGTTACAATCGGGAGAAGGAAAAAATCGTTTATTTTAAAAATTGCTCATTAACATTTTTTAAAATCCTCTGTTCTGCTGGATGGACGGAAGCAACGAACGTTTCAGACTCCTGTGGGTGTATTGGAATAATAAACGATTTTTTTCTCGGTTTCTCGGTTTTCCAAGTGAATACGAAGGATATTTTTTCACGAAGAAATTATAATTTATCGAAGGTCGTTGCATCTGGTATGCTGTACGGCTCCGACGCTTATTTTACTTCAGGTTGGAACATCATGGACGGAGTGCTTGTGATCATTTCCATAATCGACTTATCAATGTCCTTACTGTCATCGAGCAGTCCAAGGATCTTTGGAATATTGAGGGTACATTGTTCTATCTCTACTTTTTAACAGAAACTGTTTGTCTTCGTACGAATCGTTGAATTGTTTCGCTCTTTTCGCAGGTTTTTAGACTTTTAAGGTCGTTAAGGCCGTTACGGGTGATTAATCGAGCTCCTGGTTTGAAGCTGGTTGTTCAGACATTGTTGTCCTCTTTACGACCTATCGGCAACATCGTTTTGATATGCTGTACTTTTTTCGTAATCTTCGGTATCTTGGGCGTGCAGCTATTCAAGGGTGCCTTTTATTATTGCGAGGGGCCTGACATTAAAAACGTGCGCACTAAGAGCGACTGCATGGCCGACGAGCGCAACGTTTGGCTCAACAAGAAATATAATTTCGACGATCTCGGGAAAGCGCTGATGTCGTTGTTCGTGCTCTCGTCGAGAGACGGCTGGGTCAATATCATGTACACCGGGCTTGACGCTGTCGGCGTTGATCAACAGGTAAACCCTCGAGTGCCAATCCTATTTCCATATTGTCTACTCCGTAGTACCACTTAATTTATTGTGTATGCGCGCTCCTGCCCTTGAGCCACTCGTGAAACGTACGCCAAGAACGTCTCGAAAAGTTCTTTAGAAAAATTCACGATGACAAATTGTGAAAACTCTATTTTTAAGCTAAGTCTCTCTTTCCCTGTTTCAGCCAATTGAAAATTATTCGGAGTGGCGGCTACTTTATTTCATAGCATTCATCCTGCTCGTTGGTTTTTTCGTTTTGAACATGTTCGTGGGGGTTGTGGTAGAAAATTTTCACAGATGCCGCGAGGAACAAGAGAAGGAGGAGCGCGTGAGGAGAGCCGCTAAACGAGCATTGCAAATGGAGAAGAAACGGCGAAGTAAGAAAGACGACTTGTGTTGGTCGATCCCTGAGAGAATGATGCTTATTGTATATCGTTCCAGAAATGCACGAGCCACCCTACTATATAAATTACTCGAAATCGAGGCTGTTCGTTCACAACGTGGTGACGTCGAAGTATTTCGATCTAGCGATCGCTGCGGTAATCGGCCTGAACGTCGTCACCATGGCAATGGAGTTTTACATGATGCCGAAAGCCCTGACATACGCTCTAAAGATATTCAATTATTTCTTCACCGCGGTCTTCATTCTGGAATCGTTTATGAAACTCCTCGCATTAGGTCTACATCTGTACCTCAAAGACAAGTACGCTTTCAAACCCGAAGTCGAATCGAGTCCCATTTCGTACGAGTTACATGCGATTATTATATTTTACTATTATTAAATTAAAAAAGAATCACGTGTACTCCTTAATCGGACTTGGACCAGTTAAACTACTTTGAAGTTCAGTAAGAAGTGTGATTTCTTTTAACAGATGGAATCAGTTGGACGTAGGAATCGTGATACTGTCAGTAGTTGGTATAGTTCTCGAAGAAGTCGAGTCGAAAATCATTCCTATAAACCCTACGATAATCCGAGTGATGCGAGTACTGCGAATCGCTAGGGGTAAGCTCGACGGAGGAAAAAATGTAGATTGGCAAATGTTAAAGGACACGTTGTTTACAGTTTTGAAATTGCTAAAAATGGCGAAGGGAATACGAGCCCTGTTAGACACGGTGATGCAGGCGTTGCCGCAAGTTGGGAATCTGGGTCTACTATTCTTTTTGCTCTTCTTCATCTTTGCAGCTCTTGGCGTGGAACTGTTCGGTCGTTTGGGTGAGTATCGCGACTCTTTCAGGTCAAATTCAATCGGCCGAGTGTAAAGTAAAGTAAAACGTATGAATTGCAGAATGCACCGACATAACGCCTTGCCAGGGTCTCGGCGAGCACGCCCATTTCAGTAACTTCGGAATGGCGTTTCTGACGCTCTTTCGAGTAGCGACTGGCGACAATTGGAACGGGATCATGAAGGACACTCTGAGGGACGATTGCGACAATGCAGCGGATTGCGTGAAAAACTGCTGCGTGAGCACCGTAATAGCCCCGATATTTTTTGTAATATTCGTGCTGATGGCACAATTCGTTCTCGTTAACGTCGTCGTCGCCGTGCTTATGAAGCACCTCGAAGAGAGCCACAAACAGGTAAAGGTGCTTCCCTCATCGTCAATTTTTTTGTCTCTTTTCTTAACATTTTACAATCGTGTGATTGATCAAACGACTGAAATTCGTTTCTCAGATGGAAGATGAACTCGACATGGAAACGCAGCTGGAGAGAGAAATGAAAGAGCAGGAAGAATTGTTAGACGTGAAAGAGGAGGAAGAGGAAGAAGAAATGGTGAAACGAGAAATGAGGGAAGACGGTGAGCTGGAGGACGACGACGTTAAGGAACGCGAGTCTATCTTGGCGAACAAGAAGATTCCCGCTAGCAGACCGGGTCTCGCCAAAGTTCGTTCCCTGCCCGCGAATTTTATTTACAATCCACCACGGGAGAAAGGCGCAGATGGTACGTTCGCAAAAAATATCGAAAAATTGCTTATTTTACGATAACGTAAAGTATGATGGTTTAAAAAATGCACTCACTTTGCGACGATTCTGCTCAGGCGATGACTGAAATTCTGTTGCAGAGGGTATGGTCGTGTCGTTGTCGCGGCGCAGCTCGTACCATCGTCCCAGTTCAAGACCGTCCAAATTCAAATCGAAACGCCGACAAACGTTTCACTCGGGCCACCATCAGAGGAGATCCTTACTGCCGATGCATTTCGAGGTCACCGAAGTCTTCGAGAAGCCTGTAAACAATTTAAGCGTGCCACGAATTATTCCTCAACGCAGCCGCTACACGCCGGATCGAGACGCTGCTCCCGTGCAGCGTCAAAGGTTACACGTACGTAAACCTATCTCGAGACGTGTACATTAAAATCAAGCATCGGATATGAGTTTTTGTTAACTTTTCCTTACAGGCGACCAGCGAACCAGAGAGCAAGTCGCTGCTAAGCGTAAAGCCGCCGACCCTGCTGACGCCGGCCGGTTCCGTCACCGCTCTACCCTGTCCTAAGTTAAGCAGCGAACGTTATCTTATGCCAACGGCCAATATCTACCCGTCCAAGGCGACGTTGACGCGCAGAACGTCGAGCGATGTGCAGTCGCAGTCGGACACGAACGTGAGCGTCGGTACCGGGAGCCATGCCTCGAAAGCGCCCAGCCCGGACGGCGATAAAGCCGTAGTCAAGACCGAGGACGCGAGGACGAGAAACGAGAGACGGGTGTCCGCGCCGCCGACGGACGATTTCGACGTGCAGTCGGTCATTAACGAAAGGAGGCCGTCCAAGTTGAAGAGCGGGCCCTTGGCACCAGGGACGCCGAGCGTCGTTCGCATGGGGAGCTACGGACACATTTACGTGGCCGAGGAGAGGTCCGAGGAAATCTCGCCGATGTCAGTTGACACCAGCGACAGCGTGATGGGTAGCACCAGCGTCAGCGGGAGCGGCACTGGGAACGGTAGCACGAGTGGAAGCAGAAACGGGAGCGCGGTGGTCCACATGCCGGAACCGATCTCCGCCGTGGTCAGTACGGACGTTCGGATATACGTCGACGACACCGATTCGACGAGCAGTAACAGCCGTCGCAGGAGGAGATCGAACGACGAGACGCTGGATGGGTCGACGACCGTTTCCTCAGCGACCGCGGTCCAGGACGAGAGCGACGAGATGGAGGAGACTGAGGAGAGATCCGACAGGCCGTCCTCCGATGGGCCACCGGATCCCTCTTAATTCGGGACGATCGTCGACCGACGTCGTTTTTGTCTCCTTGCGTTTTCACTTTGCTTTCTTTTAAACGGATGGGAAGTAAGAGTCTTAGCGAGTAACCGGGTACAGATTTCTACGCGATTGCTAGCCGGCCATGGTATCCACGGCGAAGTACCATGGGGCGCGCTGCAAGGGTTCAACGTTGGGCTCTAAGAAAGACTGTAGTGCATGACAATATAGTCGTTATATTCTAGTCACTTTGCCGCCGTGAACTTTGCCAAAGTAGGGAAGCAAATATCGCCGACCGTTTTTCGGGAACGAGGGTCGAATGGATGGGCAGTGAGGGACGGAGGAGGTGAATTGAACGACGCGCTCTTGACCGAGGGAGTCGAACGAGAACAGACAGTGAAATTTTCCATCGTGGTGTCTGAAATTCTGCCCGTGAAGAGAAGAAACGCGCGCGCCATGCGCGACGTTGCACACGTAGTAAATAAACGAAGAAAAAAGTAAAAACAAAAAAAGAGGAAGGGGAAGAAGAAAACCTATGACAATCTATTATTGCCAGCGGAAACGATCTTACGTTCCGTTAATGAAACGTCGTGGAAGTCGATCCGTAGGAATTGGTAGGTCGAGTAACGACGTAGTTACGCGTCGACAATTATAGAGACAAATTTTAGGTAGACGTTTTAGAAGAAACGAACAAACCTTGTCTGCGCGACAATTGCAATTAATCGGACCACACTTTCTCGCCTTTCCTTTTTCTCCAACTCGTCGGAATACAAAAATAGAAAACACAGCAAACGTGTCGTTCGCAGGAGAGATTCTCGAGAAAGAGAGGGAAAGAGCCGCGACTCGGAATCGTGGGTAGCTCTCGACGGAGGAACGAAAGGTGCCAAACCAAAGAAAATAGAATTAAAGAAAAAGCAAAGAAATAGAAGAAAAACAAATGGTAATTACCGAAGTGCCAGAAAATCTAGATAACAGAAAAAAAAAAAACGATTTCGGAATTAAAAAAATAAGAAAAAAAGAGAGTAGCAAGTAGCGTAGTCTTCTCGCTGGTCGCGATCCGCGAGACGAAGATTTTAGCTGCGTGAGACGAACAATCGTGTATTGACATTAGACGTTAAGAGCTTCGTTCCTCGAAACCAACCTTCGCGCCGGTGGTGAATAATAAAAATAATGGTCGAAGGGTCGGTGGGAGGAGTAAGGGCGAACAAATATATTGTTACCATTGGCTAAAGTGATAAAGCAGCCAGTTCATACGTTAGCTTAGTCGACTACAATGGTATTTTTGTCACTTCTTTCACGCTGACTCTAATAGAGACTCTCTAAGACGATTAGCACAGAGTTCGTAACGTGAAGTATGTAACGTAAACGATTAGAAACTTAAGGCTATGACTTCGACATGTTGTGATAATCTTTAATACAAATTGAAACTCGTACAATCTTTAATCTCTATGTCAATTGGTAATGATCGACGCGACGCGCCGGTTTCTCGTGGAAAGCTATCGCCGATGCCAGCTAGCCGTGTTAAAAGTGAACAAAATCCCGGATTGATCCTGCGGCGACCAACGATGAGAGAAACATTCTCCTCGTTTCCATCTCTTCGTTTTTGTTTTCTCGCCTCCTAGAGCGTTCTTCTCGTTAACATCTGTGATATACTTTAATCGTAGTGTATTTCCTATACGAAAACGAACGGTGAAGAGAAGAAAAGAGAAAAATACCCGAGCGCGTAGGCGTGGGTGATAGAACTAGGCGACAGCAGCAAAAACAAGGGCGAGCAGCAGATTAGAAGAAACGAACAGTAGTGCGACTTTGTAATAAAAGCAAAAGGAAAAACATAAAACGAAAACAAACTTGGGGGTGCGGACGAATTACGGAAGAAATCTAAAAAAAAAAAAAAATGCAAATATATATACATATAGTAAGATAGAAGAAAAACTCTACTGTACATACATACACTTACGAATATTCTATACACTTGGTGTGGTTTATTTTGATACTACCGCGTGCGGTAATATTTAACGATTGTCGGGGATAAATTCAACAAATTGCAAATGAGCAATCAGGAGATTATAAAGTATTAAGTAAAAGTTGAACAGAGAAATTAAGGTAAAAAAAAAAAAAAAACACGATTCTTATGCCTTTTAACGTTGACGAACGTTGACGAACCTTCGTGCGGTAGTGGTGCCCGCTCTAAGAACAGACGCTGACGGACACCTCTTCGTTTTAAAACATTGGTACGTCGCCAAATGTTAACGATCCCTTACTTAGGTCGACCCGTTGCTTTGCGACGGATCGAAGGTAAGAAGAAAGTCGCGGTAGACTGGACCGAAAGATCGATCGACCGACCGAAAGAATCTGATTCTCATAGCCACCAGTATAGGACACCGAAATCGTAGCGACGATTTATTTAAGAGAAAATCAATCTGTTTCATTCGGAGTGTTTCTCTGTAGGAACTAGGAACGTACAAATTGTTGTACTAATTATGACCGAATTACTTGTTTCATTTAATGCAATAAACGTGGACAGATTCTGTCCTTGATCGAACGATAGTACGGTCCCAGTCCGTAGTGCACAAACGAAATTACGTAGCCGTATCGACTATGTTAATTGAATAGCGAGGAAAAAGTAAAATCTTACTCCGTTTAAAAGGTCTAACGTGAATCTCGTACGCACAATCACGCCTATTCTATTAATATGGTAAAGTGGTCGTTGACGATCGATTCGAAATTGTTGGCATTACATGAATTCAATAGAACCGTGCGTAAGAACGTTCATTTTGAATAAATGAAGACGACGGAGCAATACGTCACGGGCAACATTAGGTGGCACAAAGATAAAGAGAAGCATCGTGGTTCTTGGACCTTTTAATCAAAACGCGTACTTCGTTCGTAGAGATCGTGATGTATTTGTAACAATATACATATACGTGTATAAATACCCATTATAAATATATGTACAGTCACGCATAAGCAGAAACGATTAGAACGTGTGATTCGCGCGTTTCTCCGGCACCACGACCGTGTCTCAATAGCTCGATAGCGTTAGACGACCGACCTCCGAATTATAGTTTATTCTAGCCACAGGGATGATCGTGTGACCGCGCGCGAATGTTCGCCGACTCGCGACCGCACGTCTATCGTCGTTTAGCGAGAATGACGCGCGAAGGGATTCAGAGAAAGTTTAGGGACGAGAAGAAAGTGTGTCCACTCACGTGTACGTGGACGCTCCGCAGCGACGGGGGATGCTTCTATCCATAAAGGGTGAGAGGGAGAACGTGCTGGAACAGGGAAGGGTGAACAAATGAACATAAAAATTAGGACGGACAGTATATACATACATATATGCGTACATACACAGATCGTGCACACATATGCGTATACTATATACACGTAATACTTAAAATAGTTACGCGAATAATAAGTACAAGAGATGAAATCAGATATTAAACGTGTTATTCAGTGTACTTGTTGCCGCGTGCCTCTCGAGTCTGTTCTTCGCCCCTACAGGAGGCAATGCGTAATCGTCTATTTAAAAAAAAAGTTATACTAAAAATTAACAGAAAAGACACACACACGCAAATATATAACATANTATATATATTATATATATGTAAAAAGAAGTAAGGGACATTAAAGGACTAGAAGGAAGATCGTAGTAGGGACAAGGAAGAGGGAGAATTAAAACTGAAACTGTACGAGAGAAAATGATAAATAGATAAGACGAAGAACGGCTAGTCGTCCTCAAATGTAACGTGCTATTTTAATTACATCAGTAATGTACCAGGCACGGTCCATACGACCGTCGAGAAGCGTCCTTTTTGTCTGCCTGATACCGATGCGTGCGAATACGTGAATTTCTTTTTTTTTTTTCGTTGGGGAAAGTCTAGCCACTTACGATTAAACTTCGGATCGTATAAGATGAAAGGAGGAGAAAAGGAATGCGTGAGAGGCGAGGAAAAAATAATGGGTGCGTGGGTGCAAGTGTGTGGAAGAATGCAAGTACGCGACGACAGGAGCGTAGAAGACTAAATATGTACAAATGTAATAAATTGAATGACGATTACGTTGAATTGAATCGATCGTTTGTTTTTACGTGCTCCACTGTGCTTTCCCTTATTGAATTCACTTCGTAATTGCTAATACAACTAGGAAAGAATTCATACCTTCGCCAGCCTGCCTAATCGTGTCCTAAAGCATTTGAGATCGATGCAATAAATATTTCCGAAGAATCAAGCACTATACGTGAAATATAATTCTAAAGACGAGTGCAATAAGAACGTCGAGGACAAAGAAGGTTGTCTAATTTCTGAAATACTCGTCAGAAGATGAAGGAAAGACAGCTGATGAAAAGAGAATATTTTCAATTAGTAGAAATAATTGATGACACGGAGAATTGCGTAAAACGGGGAACAGCTGCGAGAGGAAGCTAGAGGAAGGAATGGAAAGGAAAGATAAAAAATATCGTAAATAAAGTACAAAATAAAAATTTATTAATATCAATGTTAATGAATAAATACAAAAATAGTAAGTTATATATTACAGTGTTCTCTAACTTTGTACATACTTAATGTTTGAACCCCTTATTAGGTGGACCACCTCTTAAAATTTCTAGATTATTGTTACTTAGGTAACTGAGTATTTCTTGGATGCAATTATACGGTAAGCAATAAGATGTGCTGCTGATCAAGCCATTGAAATCTTTAACGATCTCATCTAACAATTCCTTTCGTATCATAGCTTTCCTAAAACGGCTGTCTATCATACTTGCGTAAACAGGAAATTGTGTCTCGTAATCTTTCGATCTCAAAACTTGAACAACATTTTCGTTTCTAACGTATGATACTACTTTGTCCAAGCGTTTTGCTAATATATCATGGAATGTTATATTAGTGTTATGAATTTTTTTACTTTTCATTTTCTTTATTTCTATCGCACATTTTTTCTGAAACACAGACTGATCTTTTACCTCTCTCGTGACTTTAAGTTCCCGCAAATTTTCTTGATTCACATATAAGTTAGCATTGTACATTTTAATTAAGTGCTCTTGGAAAATCGTAACCGTTCGATTGTAATCCATACTACTGCCAGAGAAATCGGACCAATCTTCAGACTGACGGTCATACAAGTCTAAGAAATCTAAGTCGAAAGGGGGGAAATCATATCCAAAACCAACATCATAATTATCATCAAAATCGTAATCGTAATCGTAATCGTAATAATTGTCGTACGCGTCATTATCATAATTATCTTCGAAACTATCGACATCGGAATAGTCGTTGCTATCGGAGAAACTTTCATCACAAGACTCTTCATTACCATACTTAACAAAGTGGAACGCTGTCTTATTGTCTTTATTAACGATATTTACATCGGCACCATTTTGCATAAGAGTTAGAACGGCTTTGTTCTGTCCGATTTTGGATGCAATATGAAGTGCAGTATTACCGTTCGCTTCTACGGCATCAACGTCGACGCCAGAATTAATCAGAATTTTCATGATATATACGTTACCAGATTCAGCGGCCAGATGTAGCGCCGTTAAACCACATTTTTGTTTAGCATGGACATCAGCTCCTTTATTGACTAGTAAACTGCAAATTGTTTCTCCTCCTTTTTGCGCAACAAAATGAAGCGCTGTGGCGTCATTATCATCTCTCAAATTGATATCGGCACCGTATTCCAAAAGAGTTCGTACGACATGATCGTCTCCTTTCTGAATGGCTAGATGAAGTAATGTTAAACCAGTTTTGGTTCTCGCATTGACATTAGCTCCTTTTTCTAACAGGAACTTAAAGATATCTGCTGTGGTACAGAAGATGTTCTCATTATGGTCTTCGGCAAGACGTAGTTCATTAGAAAGAAGTGCATGATGTAAGGCTGAGTTCCCATGTATATCCACAGCGTTGACATCTAGACCATGTTTTAAAACAATTTTAACGATTTTTTTGCATCCTTTCTCCAAAGCAATACCTAATAACTCTGGTTTATCGTATATTTCAGCACCGTTCGCCAAAAGTAATTCCGTGAATTTTAAATCGCCGTTTTTAATGGCATAATATATTGGTGTATTGTTAATGTAATCTTTGGCATTAACATTAGCTTTGTAAGTAATTAGTAGCCTGGCTACCTCTTTTTGCCTGTGCATAGCGGCCCCGTGCAGTAATGTAATTTTCTCATTAACCGTTGCGCCGTATAGTTTATTAGTATCGATACCGGATTTCAAGAAGTTCTCCACGATTGTCAGATACCCCTTTTTAACGGCATCAAGCAACAATTTGACGTCACATTGATCCTCAGTGTTAACCATAAAACCATACCTCAAGAGTGAATTGACGATACGGTTAAATTTTTTCTGTTGCCTGCACACCGCAACTTGAAGTGAATTTTGATTGCTCTCGATATTAATGTTAGGTGAATGTGATAAAATCTCGTCAACTATTGCTGGTTGTCCTTGTTCAACGGCCAAATGTAGTATGGTTTTCTCATTCTTGTCTTGCGCGTCAACATTGGCGTTATTGTCCAGTAGTAGTTTAATTATGTCCAGATGTCCTGATCTTGTAGCAAGGTATATTGGTGTTATCTTCTGACTAGCGATAGCGTTGACTTCAGCGCCTTTATGCAACAGTAGTTCGACGATTTCTGTTAAACCATTTTCACATGCTACGTGTAATGGTGTGTACCCTTGCCAGTCTGGTAAAGTGCATACACAGTTGACAGAAGCTCCTCGTTCCAAAAGGTCTTTAGCGATTTCTTTACGTCTCCTCTTGATAGCAACATAAAGAGGGGTTTCACCGCTTTCCCCTTCAACGTTTATATTAATATCTTTACTCAAAAACAATTCAACAATATTTTTATGACCATATTCAACGGCAATATGAAACAGTGTATAACCTTTTATCCAACAATTATCGATACAAGCTCCATATTTTACGAGCAGTTCAACAATATGTACTTGCTGTCTCTCAATTGCATAAGAGAGCGGTGTTCGATTGGAATAATCCTTAACGTTGACCTCTGCTCCTCGATCTAGAATTAACTGAATGATTGCTGAGATACCTCTCTTGACCGCAACTGAAAGGGGCGTGACACCGTTTCCATCTTTAAGATTGACATTAGCACCACTGTCTAGGAGTATCTTGATAGTCTCGATATCTGGATATTGAACAGCACAGTGAATTGGCGTTGCGTCGTTTATATCTCTCACATTGACATCAGCACCATTGGATAGAAGTAGTTGGACGATATCTGGTTTTCTACATTTGATTGCCTCGTGAAGAGGAATGGCACCAAATTTATTCTTAGCATTAGGATTGGCACCTTTCATTAGAAGTGTTTTAATAATATTTTTATTGGCATTTTTAATAGCCAGGATAAGGGGATTTGTACCATACATGTTTACTATATTCACATCTGCTCCCTTACACAATAGGATGTGAGTAAGTTCTTCGTATTGCCTGTCAACTGCCATATGAAGCACAGTAAATCCATATCTGTCCTTTGCATCGATGTTAGCCCCGTTATTTAGAAGCATTCTGACGATATTTATGCTAGCATTTGCTGTAGCGAGATGCAACGGTCTTCTGTCAGTGTTATCTCGTGCATTGACATTGGCTCCATGAGATAAAAGTAATACAGCAATATCATACATCTTATTTTGGACTGCATTGTGTAATGCAGTAGAGCCAGATTTATTTCTAACATTTACTTGAGCTCCTCTATCAATAAGCATTCTAACGATTTCTATGTTGCCATTCATCACAGCAAAGTGAATTGGCTTGTTTGTAGGCTTTCCAGTCTTATTATTAACTTTGGCACCTTTGGTTATGAGCAATTTGGCAATTTCATTACGGCGCTTTTCAAGAGCATCACGTAGTAAAACATATCCTCCGGACCATGCCGGCGAATAAGACAGTCCGAAATTATTAACTAAATCACTGACTCTGTTTAGATTTCCATAACGTACAGCAGAGATTAACTCTCTGCTTACGTCTTCTCTAGCTAACATTTTTCTTATTTATTTGTCGATATATATACGCCTCGGTTTAGTTATTTCAAACTAAGTGATAGTAAGATGAAATACTGGCTCGTTTCTCTCTAACACCAAGGAAATATAACCTAAAAGTTCAAACACGTGATTTCTCTCAGTTCTTTTTATATCCTATATTTTACTACTAATTTTAACAGTTTTTAAGCGTTTATTAAATTACGAACAATATTGTTTTACTTACTAAATTCTATCGTAGTTACAGTTATGTATCACAATGTTCGTTAGACAATAGACACAAAGGATCGAAGGATCGACGACCAGCGTACTCGAACGAACAACCGTACAGCAGGACTCAACAGGAACAAATGAAGAAACGAACGAATCACTAAGGGAAGACACGTGGGGGAGGGAGGAGACAAAGGATTCCGAATTTGGAAAGTTACCAACTTATTAGTACGAAGAATTAGGAGAACCAATTTTATCATCACGCGTTGAATAAAGAATGATCCTTGCAGCATATTTATGTTAGAATTATTAAAGATAAAATGCAATTAAAAGACAATCGAGCGTTCTATTGTTCTTACTCGGACTAGCTTTAGCGTTTTCAAATGTTACCTATAGGATATATAGAACAAAGGATGATGTTATAAAAATCTCCTAAAATCCTACAGCTGGTATTATTTAACGGGAATGATTTATTCTACTTTCATTTCTCGAAAGGCACAATTACAACGCAGGCAGTGTCTCATCTTTCTACAAACTAAGCTACCTTTTCTTTCAGATTTGAACTTAAATGCACCCTTACCTTATGTTTCTTGCTGTTAATCTTAGGAGTTCTCCAAATCCAGTCTTTAATATCTTATCACGTTCCACTTTCCTTCATGTTTTAATCGTATTTCTCACTGTACAAGATTCCTTGTCACTACTGACTGCACAGGAGAGAAAGCGCGCGAAAACTATTAAGCAAGCAGCCATTCGTGGATATAAGCGGGAATTTGAATAGAACACTCTACATATTCAGACGGGAACAGAAAAGTGGCGGGAATAGGGAAGTGAGTGATGTGACAAGGGAAGTCGACGAAACTGACAGGAATAATTAAGAACTTGTATATGGATACAGGTATTTTACATATTATTACATACATACTACTGAAGGGAACAGCGTTGGGGTAAAAAATCCCTCATAACAGTAATGCAGATAACCTACCAATGGTGCGAGTGAGAGAAGGTTCGTGAAGGATTTTTTGCCCCAATGTTGAAAGGGAAATAATAAGTAAGAAGAAGAAAGTTATATATCTTTATTTACTACTATAACAAAGTATATATAATACTTTACATACGAAAACCTTAGCCACATCGATATTATATTATTAATTATGCTATACAAATAGCCTCTTAGAACTCTCCGTTCAGCCAGTGTCCTCTTGATCGCGAAAACCCACTGATTGCAAACAAGGGAAATTACCTATTCTTTTTACTCAGGGTGCCGTGTACTCTTATTCTGTAGATGCAGGTGTACTCGTTGTTACCGCTATTGGAATGAACCTTTAGTTCGACTATTTCGTATGCTTTCTTCGCTTTATGCTGAAAACGATTGCGTATTTAAACAGGGAAATTCATAACATATCGCTGATAAACTTCGGTTTACTTGAACTTCGAAATATTGTACAGGTGAACCATTATTGTCATACGTGAATTCGCCAAAGAAAAAAGGATTCGTGTCGTCTACGCTGGTTAAACCCTGGAGATTTGCATATTACATTGCAAGTGATAAGATTTATTTGAACAATTAAAACCAGACTCTTTAAGTCGTCATTTACCAAGATAGAGAAGTCTCTTGGGGCGGTACTCGTTTCCCCGGTCGGGGATATCGATTGTGGGATGTGTTCCAAACTTACACCAGAAATGTAGACAAGGCCAAGCAATTGTACTACTACACTTCCACTGCTACCTTTAAATGCCCAGCACTCGCCCGGGAGGACGCCGGTCTGCGTAAATCAAATTTGGAATTTGTTTCAAGTCATTGAAATTCGTTTAGATCGAAAGCAGCGACTAGAGAAACCTGTATTATAGCCTGCGGTGTATTTTGTTGTTGACAAATGGGTATGCCGAAGAGTTTCAGCACCGGTGCACCAGCCGAGTACGTTTCCGTGTTTCTCGTCGAGAGAATTGCACCGCCTAAACGTTTCAAATTTTAATGTCGGAAAAGGGAATCGACCAGCACTTTAGTAATCTCTCCGTGGTTCTACCAATGCTGTACCTGAACTTCCGAGTGCGTAGTCTGTCCTCCCGGTTTTGTCAGCGTCGTACGTTTGCAATTCGCTCCTTACCAGCTCTCGGACAGCTTCCGGGGACATGGCTTTAAGCAATGCCTTCGTGTGCTGCTCCATTCCTGTTTCATATTTCACAAACGAATTCTTATCAGTTACCAGACTAGAGAACGACAAACTACGCGTCGTAATTCGTTACATCATATCTTTTTTACCCTCGGACACTTCGTTTCTTAAATAGAGAATGGCCTCAGACATCTTCGGTATCACGTATCCGACTTCTTTCAACTTACTCTTTAAATCGTCTCGCGTTTCCATTACGCTCTTCACTTCCATCTGGGCAGACGTCGTTTAGAAAATATACTTTAATTACTTACAGTCGTACGCTTAATACAGTAATTACCGATAGGGTATTCAAATGTGTACGTAGATTCACCAAGTCGGATCTGATTATTTTGTAGGTTGTACTGGCTGAGTATTTGTCGCACAAATGAGACACGGACATTGCTGAAACGTACAATTCTGTTTACTTTACCTCGAGCTATTCATCGTTAACATCATTCGAGCACGGTTTCATTTCAGAAGCCTACTAAATTCGAAGTTAACCATAGAGCGACGTACCTAACAACGACGTAATAACGCAAAATACAAATGGTTTGATGAATTTACAGTACCAAGGGGATCGGCGAGAGGAATTTAATATAGCAGCTGGACAGGTTCTTCCATTTCCACAGCAGTACGTGTTTTGTACGCTCATCGGATATCACTCATAATCACGGGTTTGATCTTTTGAAGGACCTGAATAGCCATACCCTGATGTTTGTCCGCTTTGTGATTTTGTCGAAATTTCATTTCATTGACTCGTTCAACCGCTGCATTCCGTTCAGTACACTTCGACCGACGTAACCGAGCGGAATCTCAGTTGCCCGTTCTTTAATAAATGACCACGTCAGATTGTTTTAAACGAATTTTATTTAGAATATAATACACGTCGAGTCTCGATAAATATATCAGCCTTTTGTACAAAATTACTTGATTTTATTGTACCTAACTACGATAATACGCTACTCATAGGAAGTACCTTATAATATTAATTTTCCGAGGTATATCTTTTCTTCTTATTGCGACTCCGGCGAAGTATAAATACGGCAATGTATGCGATAGGAAAAATATTTCAAGTTACAGTAATTTGTATACCTCCGGTATTATGTACGACGCTACTGTAATTCTACGTAATAGTTAACAGCGTACACATAATAGGTTTTATGTACACTATACATATGTAACGATGCTACGTGTATTTAAATCACTGATCAGTCACGCACGTTAGAGATAAGGAAGTTAAATTTTTTATTGAAACCTCTCTCAATTGATAGAGGAAGTCGAATTGAAATAAATCATTTTTCATTCATCTCAGTATCTCAACCCGTTCCAGAGATACAGAGTTCCAAAGTGTAGACAGTGCGTTTGGTCATGGTTCAGCACAGTAACCTACTTCTCTGCACGGAAAAAACGTGTATCAGCTGAGCCTCGAGGCCGAGACCGGTCGACGTGCAAGAAGGACGACAATAGTCGCGTCGAAAAAACTACGCTCAGCTGTAGCTCCGGTTACGTTTACGGTTTTTTCTCCTCCGTCTACTACGGAGTAACGTCATTCTCGGTCGAACTACTGATCTCGTGACCGATAACGTACACAATGATGGAATGATGTGTATGGGAGCTGCCTGGTCTCCATTGAGTTCTATTTCTTGTTATAGCTTTAGTACACGGGTTTTACTATCCAGTATTCTATAGAGATCAGTGACTTAAATGCAATCGTCTGGTATCATCGTAGCGTCTACACAGACGGAATGATAGAACACTCGGTACGATTTTGAAAATCATAGTCCAAGAAGGCTATTATCGATGGACTGTCGTTTTTACTTTTAGCGTTCTCTATGTATTCGAATATTATACGCATGTATCCAAATCCGCAGCCTACTTATCAGTAACGAGACGTAGATCACATGCACAGACGTTGAAATTGCCGTGACGATTTCAGTACAGTTTGCGACAAATGTAAACACTTGAACTCGTTTACCTCGTCAGCAGACGTTCTTTAAACAGGTGTGTATTCGAACGTTAAGCCGACTCTCGAAATCATAATCTCTGTACTGATTTTGGGCTCTCAAGAGGAACGTCTTTCCCTCTTCGATATCCTGAAATTCGACGATTCAAATGTTGAAAACAATATTTATTTAGCTTAATCAAAATTGAATTTCCCTACTCACGTTGACAGCGCAAAGCGCAGTACCGAGCTCATACAGCGCGAACGTGCTGATATGTTGATCGCACATGTCACTGGACGGATTATTGCGACGCTTGAGACAATTACGATAGCTTTGAATCGACGCTTGAGTATCGCCGAGATAGGAATAGGCTGCTCCTTCAATTAAATCGGCTAATCCCACCATTGGTTCCTCGGAACGGTGATCCTTGCATTCTAATGCAATCGTAAACGACATTAAGACAAGAACGAGTTTCCTATACGTCTAATTAATTTCATTTGGTATTACCTAAAAGTATTTCTTGCAACGATTCGACGGAACAAGACGGCATCGCGTTCCATAAGTAGAGCAGCTCATAAACGAGTAATTTGTAGTACAAAACGGTATGAGGTTGTCCAGTCTCCTGATCTACGAGTTTAGCTGTCCGCCGCAGAACGAACAATCCCAGTTGCGTGTCCTTATTCATTCGGTCAGAACAATTTAGAATCTTTTGATAAGACGAGGCTACAACGTCCGATTTACCCATCGATCCGCAACAAACTGAGGATCAAAAATTAGCTGAACTTCTAGATGATTAAAAGATTTTCTAAAATAGGAGACCGTCTTACCGGTTGCTAAGTAAGCGTAAAAGCTCACCGACCACCTAGACTGCTGTCGCAATTGCGTCAAGGATCGGTAAGCTTTATCGTATCTCAGACAAATTAGATGACACCAAGCCACTTCGTGTAGACACAATAATTTGATCTCCCTTTGACACGAAGCCTCGACAGCGTTCGCGTACGCTTCCAGAGCACCGTTTACGTTGGACTGTAAAACGAATTAATAAAAGCGTGCAAAATTATCGAACTTCTTAAACACCGACCAGCAAGAATATTAAGGATGTATTGGCTATACAGTCAATCTCAAAAGTTTATGTACCTTAGAAAAACGCATTTTCTATAATTAAAAAGAAATCAGACATCGGAAGAATAATGCTAATAATAAATAGCTACGTGCTAAAAAGTATAGAAGGAAATATCCAATTAATTATTGACGATAGCGAAAAGTTTATTATACAGAAATTGTAGGCACTGATGTCCTCNTAGCAATGTTCTTTCGACGTTTGATTTCTTTTTAAAAAATGCGTTTCTAAAGTGCATAAACTTTTGGGATTGCCAATACATCCTTAAACGTCTTATTGCTTGGTGGGTCGATAGATAATTGAAAAGTATTTGCGATATCATTAAAAAGTATTGACGATACCTCGAGTCTTTCTATTCGTCCAACGAAAAAGAGGAATAATGCGGAGTTATTAAATTCTGGTTGACATTCCGCAATTAATTGCCTCGCAGCGTTGACGCCAGCACGTAGATTGCTTCCATCGAGACCGAAAAACGGCCGCGCTATGGTATGGTACCAAAGTAGAGACAATCTGGAACGAAGTATCGTCGTAAAAGAGACTTTACGTTTAATTCAGTTTAAAAGGCTGTTCGTATGTAAAAGAAAATTGAATTCTTTATTAAATCGCGTTTGTCAAATAGTCAGTGCATGCACGTTCTGTGGTACTAATTTTAGAGACTGCAGCGAATCCACGCTATTGTGTCTTATACAGCTGCTTGACGCATCTGTTTTCTATTCAGTAAACTGCCACATATGCATAAATTGCACCGTGCGGTAGTCGGTACCTAAAGTAGGTCAGTCTGTTCTCGATGACGTTGTCGTACAAAAAATAGTAGCAATTAAACCGATCCAGATTCTTCTCAGTTCTTCTTCAGTATCAAATTTCAAATATACTTATTTTTCTACTAATTATTTATTTTCTTCAATCGCGTGACTTCGTGCAAATCTGTAGACGATTTTCTATGGTAAAATGTTACTTGATCGAACTTACGTGGCAAGGGGTGCACGCATGTCCTCGCTGAGCCGCGCGTACATGAGTGCAGCGAGGCCTGCTTCTCTGTCACCCTCGAAGCCCAAGAAATGGATCACTTTCAGCAGAGAGGGTGGCAGTAAACTGACGCAAAGTTGATAAATCCCGTAACCAAAGCTAACCGCCGACATCAACCGTGAGACCTCGGTAGGTTCAATGAACCTGCGAAACGTTTTAATTTTCGGACATGAAATTAACGTTAATAGACGGTAAACGGTGGGACATGTGCTTAATAAAAAAATTATCGGAAAGCACGGCGCATTGGTCAGTTTTGGATTCAGTGTACCTCAAACGTGTACTTACAAGCGGAATGTAGTTTAAAAAATGTACGACCTTATTCGATCAATCAGAATGTCGTCAACGAAAGGAAAAGAATTCGTGTCGTTCTATTATCGTGTACATGTAAAACGAGGTTTTGACAAGAACCGAGAAATGTTTGTAAGAAGAAACAACAATTACGGTGTCTGTTGTTCGGACGTGATGCCAGTGAGCGAGAAGAACATTGATAGAGAGCTTCGCAGACCTGAGGGGGACGAGATGGGTGTCGGGTTGTTCGTCGAACCGTTGCAGGACGGTATGGACCACTCCGAGGAATCTGTGCTCGCTGGGCTCTGCAACGAGCGCAGCGAGTAAGACGAACCATTGCACGACGGAGTGCTGCACCTTGTATCGAACCCGACTAAAAATCGATGAACGCGTTAGAACGACGTAAACGTTATGTATTGGGAACCAAAAGTACAACGTGCTAATTGACATTCTACAATTTCATTGTACGATGCCACTCAATGGGACGCAGATCGATAAGTAGCGTTCGCTGACGATTACATACCGGATGGATTAGAGCCAAAGGTGCGCTTGTAGAGTTGTAAGATTTGCGAGTGTGCATGTTGATAAACTCGCCAGGCTTTACGTAATATCCAACCACCGCGCACGTAACCAGTTAATTCTTGTTGCAGTAGCGTTAATATCGCCGAACAGACTTGCGAATCTGCTAAAACTATTTGCCTTTCCAATTTATTCACATATTCCTTCTACAACATTCAATTTATTGAGTGTACCTACGAGCCTATGTTACCTTATTCATCACAAATGGTAATGAATCTGATAATAATTTTCTACTGTTTATAGAAAATGCATTTTAATTTAAAACTGATCTTTCAATCAGTTCGCCCATCTATACATTAGACCATCGAAAATGTTAAGCTTATTTCCGGAGAATCGACTGTGTTTGAAAATTGATAATTACGCCTGTTTCTTCCGCTTTGAAGACTTTACTCTTCATAGACTTCAACCACCCTATATCGCTCACGCATTCCCGTTCCATATCTTTCAGCAACAACATGGCCTGCTGAAGTTTATCGTTCTCAAAGGTCATCAGAGCGTTCTGGAAATTTATTCAGCGCTATTATTCCCTTCTTATTTCTACCTCGAGAACACGTTCCGTTGATCGTTATTAAGACAGTTTGAAATAGATTCGCGATCAATAAAAACGTGTACGCCGGCACGCGATGTATTACTTGCCTTCCTCTCATGTTATAAATCATAGACTTTCTTTGAAATTCATGTAACACTTCTAAAAGAAGCATGCAGACGCGAATCTCACTGATGCAAACGATTCTTGTTGATTAATTCGATCGTGAGTGTCAGGCACGATTAAGGATTTAATGATGTCGCTTGAGGATTTATATTTAATAAAAGACTCAACGATAATTAGTGCTATTTACGTACCATAAAGGAGACAAAGCAGCGACCTGATTTTATGTGGAAGCTATGCGGGTAACCGGAAAATAGGGCTTCCGCTTCCTCCGTTTTGTTATTCAACAGCAAAGAGATTCCCATTCTGGCGGTGTTCCACTCCTTCGTGTCCTCGTACTTCTTGGCCATGGTCGATCCTTTTTCGTGTGAAAATTTCACTTCTCTATATCCTTCTGATAACGAAATCGCGATACGTACAACGCGTAAGTCACGTGTGCGTCAAGTTTGAAGCATTTCAGTGGCCTTTCAATGTGTAAGCTCGCTTTTTTCGGTCAAACTGGCAGCGGTATTTACACGGTACTCTCGTTATTAGTGAAACCGAACGATTAGACACAGCACCGATCTGTACAGTCGTCGGCGAATTTGCGTCACGATAGTGTTAGGCGTGGTATGGGTACCATATCATCGTGGATAACTATGCAAAACATTCTTCCGTTAACTGGGGCTGCCTCTCCGTCACAGTACATGGCTTAATAGGAAATTGTAATTGAACGAAGTTTTTCTTTAAACGGACACGTGACTGGACACTTTAAACGTTAAATTGGAATAATGCACTGGCTTCGTTGTTATTAGATATCGTTAATTGGGTGTTTCTCGTTTAAAGAAAATTACGTATTTGTGGGTGTCACACAGTAAAAACTTCATTTATGTCCTTTTATGGTAATAGGAAATTAATCCGTGCATCGGCTGTCCGTGGTAGTTTGTATATTTACTCAAAGGATCAATTAAAACACGTCGAAATTTTGTGACATCTGTTTCGAAATTGCTTCCATTCGCGTTTGGTTTATGCCTTTTTATTAATTACAGTCTTTTAACTAATAAATCTTATTAAATAACGTAAGCAAGGTGCGCAACATGTATCCGGGATTCTACATCTATTTCGAGCACTGTTATAATAAGAATTGCACAGTACCATCATGGCTTCAAGTGATATTAGAGAAACTTGTATGCATGTTCGAGGAAAATAATTGAACGATTATTAAACGTAGCTTTCTATCCACGATGCTATGGGTTGACTAAAGTCAGCCGCCGATGCTGCTACCACCACTTCTCGCGTTTCCTATATAGCCGGTATTGATTTTAGACTATGCATGTATTGCACCTCTCGTCCCTGAACGCGCATTAGATGAACATTTTCTTAGAGCACTTTGAAAAGAAAGGGATAATGGTACTGGGATGAAATGAAACAAAAGAAAACGTTTTTGTAATTCACGGCGTATATTGTTGGTCATTGAGCAAAAGATCAAGACACGTTTTCTATATTACAGTTTCACAATAATTGTTCGTTTTAGTTAACATTCTTTTTTACATTTTCGTAATAAATTTTTATGTACATTATGTTCACAGTAGCTGTCGTCGCAACGTGGGCGCTAAGTCACGCCGCCCCTTACCGCAGTCTTACATGCACGTGGCATGTATATAGGCGTTTTTGGTAAGTGTGCTATGCGAAACGAACTACATACGCTCGAACACAATACTGACACTGGGATAAAACTATGTAGAGTGTTTTACAAAGTCGTTTCGCTATGTGATATGAATGAACTATTAAAATATAAAAGCTGTACATTTAGTTACACTTTATGATTTCGAAATTCGCCAGGTCTGTTCCTAAATGGAATGTTATATAAACTCTAGACCCTCGAATTTCTTATCTATCACTTTCGTCTCGGGCATTATTATAGTCCCAGTAATCGTAAATGCTACGATGTAAGTAGCAGTTTGCCCTTGGTACTCTTCAGTTTTAAGAGCAACGATAATTGAATCTTGAGACCCCGGTAAAAATTTGAAACTGGAGAAACCTCGGAGCGGAAGTAAAGTTCCAACTTTGGTAACCTGATAAGAGTTACATTAATGTCCTCATGTTCCACACAATTTGTCATTAAGTGATAGTAGAATGATATAAATGAATGGGATAAATACTTTGATGTCTACAAAATTTTCATCTGTAGTCAATAATACATTGCAACTCATAGTTTCATCTTTCGTTTCGTTATAACGTTCACGAGAACATCGTCTTGGTAAAAAGAACCAACTTTTGTGTATATCACTCCAAGCTCCTGATTCGTGAATCATGTAGCCTGAAGTTAATTGAAATTAAATTATGCAAGCAGTAAAACAAACAAGCGTGCAAAAATTGTGTACCTGGATATTCAATATCAAGCGCTTGTCTTAATCTTTTGTAATTGGAAATCCAATTCGAAGATTGTACCTCTCCACATGGAGAAATTATTTTTATCCAAAGAGGATTATTGTGCTGAAACTCTCCTGAAGGAGTGGTCCATTCTTTCCCCATGCTGCCTACGTATAAATATTCATCCTTAACAGTTGCCCATTCCGATTTAAATCCTAAATAAAAATAAATCTGACAATGGAAAATTTGGTAAAGTTTGATAATTAACTTATAATTCACAAGTACCATTTACCTTTGGTGTTCTTGCCATTGCCATCCATTAAAATCACCCAAGGATAAGCTTCTTCTCCTTCAATAATATATACAACTCCTGTACGGTCATCGAACGACAATAAATGTCCATCAAATGTAACTAACTCAGATAGCTCCATGCCACGTCCTTTCATAGTTAAAGATGACGTTAACATCTGGTTCCTATCGTCCCAAATGATAGAAAGACTGTTTGTGCTTGGATTCCAAAAGAGACTTCCAGTTTTCATGATGCTATACCACAGATTCTTTTTGTCTAAACTTCTGGAATCATGATCAAGATCACTTACTATTGCTATTCTGTAAGTGAAACCCTTGGAAGTCCTGACTGGCGATGACAAAGGATAAGTCTTGTTGTACTTTTGATATCTACACTGTGTTACACATTGATTCGCTGGCAAGGGACGTACAATTCCACGTAACAAAGGGAACCCGAATAAGAATAAAGAAGCAGATAACAGTAAAAATATTAAAGCCAAATATTGACTTTGAATGCGAAAAGTACTGTTAGCAACTCTGTAGACAAGAGGAGCGCGTAATGCTTGCCTCCAATCTCCTAAGTACGACATGGTTTGTTTGTTCCACCTTTGAATTCGCACTCGTTTCATTATCCATTATATGAAAACATCGTCGAGCTGCGACATGTTCTACGTGGGCAACTAAGAACTAACCGGAGGTAACCTAACTTCTTCCACCATATCGCAGACAGATTCACTGACGTCTGCGCTATTTGAACACATGAAAGCATTTAAGAAAATTCATCGAAATGTTAAAAATAAAACACGTGCTATTTGTTATTCCGATCATGATCATCATTTTATACCATGTAGTAAGTAAAATAACAATAATTTTTGCTGGGTTATAATGATATTCGAAATAATATTATAGTATTATTTTGAGACGTAAAACGACATCGTAAATTATGAATCAAAGTGTGTAGGTAGTATATCATAAACTGATTGTTTACGATATTAAATAGTTTGTAATGAAAGAGTATTGTGAAAACACAATATGATATTTGTATCATATGTATAATTTGAACGTATGTATACAGAATTCCTTATTACAATTCAGTGAACAATTTGCAGTAAAGTATTTTAACTTTTTCATATAAAGTAATTCGAAGGAATATATCATTTGATTTCCTAAACGATTTCATCGCATCTACATAAATAATATCACTTTACAAATACGACAAGTATGGTTATAATGATATTATCAAAGAGGTAACATATATAAATTAGACCTCTCTGGTATTATGTATAATTGCATTTTAAAGCACGTAGAGGCTATAAAGAATAGAGCAATACGAGTGAGCGTAATGTATTCAGTTGAACGTCGCGAGATATGCGAAACAGGGGCATTGGAACTTTCTTTGTGCCGAAAAGATATCAATTTGTATCATGCCAATAACGGTGCAGGCATCCGCTGCATATTCTTGAATATTGGGGTTGAACGAACGAGTCTGGGGTGAAACGAATCGAGGGGGTGGAAAAAGGGGGTTGGCGGAAAGGGGGTGGGCCTGCGAGGGTGGCAAAGTGCTCGTCAGTCGTGTGACGCGTTTCCCGCCGACAACATCGGTTGTATTTGCCAATACGTTAGACTGCTCACACATCTCCGGTTTCCACGTGTACCTCGCGTGTGTTCGCGACGATTCGATTGCCATTGGCTATCGCGGGTTCCGCGGCAACCTGTATTATCGATTGTACGCGTTCTGCGCACGTTGCTGCAGTTGCTCGTGGCACCGCCACCACCATGACACACGCAAGTAGTTTGTGTACCGCATTTTCGTCTTCGCGTTGACGTAACCGGTCGTGCGCTAATTCTGCTTGATTTCCGATTTTCTTCTGCGAACCGCTATCGTGCCGATACGTATTTCGTTGGTTATGACATTGCCTGTTTAACGTTGTTCCTGCTTATACACGTTTCGCCTGACATTTTCCGTCCGACCGCCATATTCAATTTCAAATTGTGCATTTTGCGCATAGGCAAAAAAGTTGGTCGGTCTGCTCGAACAACCTGCCGATGTAAACAAGTAAACACACGACCGGCAAACTGCACAACGCGAGTTTTTGTGCCCTTGTGCTTTGACCGGAGTGTACCAGAGAAACGTTATAAAATCGTTTCGTACTCTTAGCGATTTTCGATCGATTTTGACACTGTTTTATCGGTACCGCGTACCCGCGATTGAGAACCTATATGGCGGCAAAACGGGGAACGCGCTTCAATTTTGTCGTCACGGTGTAAAAGTTGCAACAACTGAGCGTTTCCGCTGTTGAAATAATTAAATATACTGTATCTGGTAGTCGTCATACTACTATTTTGTCTAGGAAAGACGGGTTCGCGTCGATGTGCGGCGAGTCGCGAGTGATTTTGTTAGAACGTGAATATTGTGAAGTTCATTTTTCGCGAGATTATGGTGTTATGGCTAGCAACGTTTTCGTATGACAACCTGTTTTCCTCGTTTGTGGATGTTCATCCATGGACAACTACTTCGGCATCGTCCTATTTGCGTTGTAAAAGGTAAATACGACGTATCTTTTAATCGGTGTTATAATTGCAAAGAATAGGAATGCTTGGCGTGCAAGTCTGTACGTGAATTCTCTTAACCCGTATCCATTGATCGATCTTACGGACAACTTATGCTTATCTCGAGTTGTCCAATTTGCATAACACGCGAGGCGTTACGACCTTTCTAAATCCATGTCATTGGGATTCGGCACGTAGGTTACATAGTACCGTGAACTTATCAAGTGCAAACCATTCTCCGAACAAAACAGTGAAAGTAAGACTACACCGCGTAGCCGGGATAATCGTACAAGTCGTGAGAAAGGTTAACACCCAACGAAACAGTATACACATACTTTCGCGTCCTGAAATAAAGTACATATTGGCTCACGGCTTCGACCAGCCTGGTTCTACTCGATAAGAAAGGCATTCGAAAACGTCTCGCGATAAGGATGTTAAAATGTTAACGATCGTTCAAGTATCAACGGCGTGCACACGCTTAATTATTACGCCGTTAAATAGTACGCGTTTGAAGAGTGCAAGGTAAACGAACTTTGCGAGCAAGGTAGAGCCAGGTTTGATGCATCACGAAAGGGGTTCGCGGTAATCCAACGCCACGGTAGGGCAGGTCGTAAGGAGACACCGCGTTCTACGTAAAGAATCATCGTCCATGACGACGAACCGTCGTCACGTCGTTGGACATTCTTCAGAGTCGTCGACCTTTAGCGACGTGTCTCGTGCGGACAAGTCTGCTTGGGCGAGACGTAATTCCGCTTAGAAGATGGCGTAGAAGGACAGGTAAACGGGACAGAAAAGAGACGAAACAAGTGTGCGTCAGAGTCCCGGGGCGGGGGGAATGACTTTGTGGGGTTAGTACGACGACGGTGCAGATGGGGGTGGGTTTCAGTGGCGTCGCACGAAAACGGAGGGTAACGAATGAACATGGATATATAAAGCAGCAGTTGGGGGGCGAGGGAAAAAGGGAAAGTGAACCCAGAAGGGTGGCGAGAGAGAGCGGCCGCGTGGACGCGTTGCATCGCGGTTATAGGTTTGCCTATCCTATTAGATCTTAAGATTGAAAATGCTTCAAGCTGATCACGGTTTATCGAACAATTATCGACTACGTTTTAACGAGGACTTGATAACGATTAATTATTCTAACGGCTAATTATCGCTTCTCGCTTCTCTCGCCGACGACTGGACTGAATTCATTCGAACCGACAAGTTCAATTAATGAGCTTAACGCGATTTACTTTCTCATGCAGTAGATAGAGAGATTAACTGACTTTAGTTATGCGGTCAGAAACGATTTTTCTCGGAATTACATTGACGTCTGGAAAATTCATTATTTAATGAATATTTCATCGTTCATTACCACTTGGCATGCTTCAGTGAAATCGATTATGTATAAAAAGGAAATTCTACGAAGTTATCGGAGTTTCATAGCCTGGCCTACATTTCTCGTTAAACATAAAAATGGAAGTATAAGCCTGTACATGTACTTATATTTCTTTTTAGATTGTTTATCAAATCGTAAAATGGTTTATGCTCCTATAAAAAGGTTGAAGTTTATACGTGCACCGTGGACAGTGGCAAGGCACAGTAGATAGTGTGTAGTCGTAGTCAGACCCAGACCTATCGACGATGCATTGCCATGGAAACGGTAGCATCGCACGTAGCACTAGTGCCATGCTGCATAGTTCGTTTGCGTGTCTGCACAGATATTTTCAAGGACATAGCACGGCTTATAAAGCAAGAATAATCGATATCAATCGCACATACATATTTATTTCGATACTCATTAAGAAGCACTACAACCTTATTCACGTTTTTATATTTCATTTGACTACACGACTAAGACTGAAATCCCATTTGTCGAATGCTAAAAAATCCTTGAACGAAAACTGTTGATTTTCTGTATTCGTTTAAACTGTTGAAAAAATAAAAATTCATGTAGGAGTATGCTTTGTATATAATTTACAAACGGGGTTGTATATCGAAATTATCCAATGGCGTGGTCGTGTTTCAGGAAGCGGACGAAAGAGGGTGGAATGAGGAGATTTATCCGGTGACCTCGTGCCGCGCGTGGTAATGCTACTGGCAAGCGGTGCTTCGATACCGACCATCGCCGCTGCCGTCGAGGAGGAGGAAGAATATGCACGCAGCGAGGCGAACAGCGCACAGTACGATGGCTATGTTACCGATCATACCGATCTTGCCTCCGAGATTGATATTGACGAGTCCGAATACAGGCGGGAGCTTCTCAACGATGTACGTGCATTCAATTAATTGTTTCCCATAAATAGGCCGCAGATCTTTACGTAAAACGAAACGTTTATGATACTACTGAAATTCTTCTTGTATGAGTATCGCAGTGTGTGCTCGTCTTCTGATATTTTATATATTACTTTTAATCTTTATATCTTATGTAAAATCTGCGATCTACTCATAAATAGTAGTGTTTCACGTTGTTAAAAATATGTGGAATAGAACGTTTTAAATGAGAGGAACAGTAGCTATGTTACAACGATAGAATAAATCTTATGATATTGTAATTGTAAAAAAGAACGCAATCGTATGTATTGGAAAAAGTAGTCTGGAGTTTCACCATCCTTTTCTGTTATCTGATTACAGAAATGGCGAATGCTATTTGATAAGGTACGTCTACGAGCTTCTCGATGCATGTGTCCAACCGTAGGAAATCAGCTTACGCAGTATCTCGAGCATGGCTGATTTTTTTTCCCTCAGTTTGATCCCGAGGGATTTGGCGAGATACCGGTGGAGGATTTTTTGGCGGCTTTGAAGAGTGCCGAATGGAAAGCCGAGATACCGCCGAATAAACGAGACATTCTTCTCACCAGAGCAAAGGAGTCGCGTGTTCATGCGGTGACGTTCCAGGACTTCGTCAATGTGGTGAGTGAACGCATTGAAATTTTTATAAAACGATTTTTATTATACATTATTCTTGTTGTCTTAAATTTATTATTGGAATGTGGCATGAAAATTCAACGATATGCATGTTTTAATAATTCACTTCTATTAATTCTCTGCGATTAATCATTGAGCACATTTTTGTGCAAACTACATAGCTAAGATTTTTTGTAGTCAAGTATCTAATAATGTATAAGCATAGGTTCATAGATAGTTAATCCGATGTACGCCTGATCTTTATCGAATTTTGTGAAAAGAGCGAGTACCTTAATCGCGTAGTAGTAAGCGATTGTGGCAGTCTAGGGAAGGGGATGGGGACGGGACGAAATGAAACGAAAAGTAGAAAAGGTTTGCGGCGGTCAAATAGACTTATTCTGCTCGACGGGCAAGCCTTGAAATTTTTCATTGTCCCTCTATTTGTCAATCTGGGAAAATGCGGCTGAGGCTTGGAATTTCGTTTTTCACGGTACTAGAACGACGGCGAAGTAAAATGAGGTAGATCGAGGCTGAAAACTACTAGATAAATATCAGGACAATGATAATCTCGCCGTTTAAAGGCAACGGTACACAACGACACAAGGGGCGAGTCCCTTTTTGTTCGCGTTCAAGCTTGCTGACAAGTTTTCGGCGGTGGTTGCCTATTGCTCTCCTTTCTCTCGTCGATCTCGACGCCGCTAAGCAGATTTGACACTGAGTGGCAGAAAATTGTCCGCGTACAAATCGGAGCGATTCGAATCGCATGTTAAACGACGTATAAAGGCCGACAAAACCGCGGTCCCCGGTATTGGCATACCGTAAAAATTTTACCTATCGATACTCCGAAATTTCGATGAAACAGATGAATACTGGTAAAAATGTTCTGAACTTATTTACCATTTCGTGCTATTCGTAATTCTTCCATTATTATTGATTTCTTTATCCGATCGACCCTTTATTATCCGTTCTCCGCCCGAAAAGATTACCGATGAATCTGGGGTTTGCAAATACCTCCAGCAAAGGGAAAGAAGCCTTTGTAGTTTCTTTACCCTTCTGTGTACAAACGTATTTACGGTATGAAAAGATTTCGCTTCTGAGGGTAGGATGCTTAAGATGCATTTCTCACGATCGCGTCTACCTTGTTCGTTCTCGGGAATTAGTAGTTGGCAAAAATATCTTTATTACAATTTTCTTATAGCAGAGCCGGTACGCGTTACAGGAGATTATGTATACGCGCTCGTTTCATAACTCTTTCTCCCGGTTGGTTCAGCATTTAATAAGTCACGCTCGATAGCCAGACGCGTTTCCGTGCTGGTTATCACGCTTTTCACCTCATAATCGCGGTGAAAAACGAACCGCATACCTTTTCCGGCTTCTTCATGTTCGTTATCTACGGCTGAATACGGGGAATTCGGTTCTTTCACCGTGCCGAGGCGACACAGGTTGATAGGATTAAACCCGCAGGTGGTTAAAGGTAGACGAAATTATTCAAGAGCACGGAATCGCGAGCATTCCCTGCACGCTGGTATGATTTACGGTCGACGGGATCGAACGACGGTAACCAGGATTTCCGTGCACACGCCTCACCCTCGCCGGCTCCACTATATGTATAACGCTTGCATACTTATTATTTCACACGACCGCGAACGAACGCGATAATCTTGTTTGTCGTGCGACTGACGCTGCACATATTTTATCCAGCCCAAGCCTACGACAATGAGAACCGAGGAATAACTATATAACATCACGGGAAATTTCAGCAGCATTTCCAATTAACGCGCAATTCGTTATCGTTTCGCGTTCATTCGATCCGTTTTCGCTAACATTAATACATACGAGTTTTCGTTTCACGCTTTTTTCATTACCGTTCATGTCCGACGTTCATTTGGTTTTAATCGTGAGTTATTTGAGCTTCTAAACCGACTTGATTTATTACGCTTCTTAAATTGTATCTGCCAGTAGCACGATGTATTAGGGATTAATTAAAACTGTTTTAATATACTATCGGAGATGTTGCAAGCTCGACGTAGTTGAGAAATGATTCATTTAGCTTGTAACGAATACGTCAAATTGACGGACGAGGGTTCACGATCAGACACACCGCGGTGTATTTGACACGATCCAACGAACGAGGGAAAGAACGTGCGAGACAAAGCGACCCGGAGGAGGTTCCTGCGCTGACCTGTGATTAGCAATTAGCTCGGACGAAGGTGGTCACTCGATGTTTGCGCAGTGCCGAACCGATCATTAAAGAAAAGGATCGAGGCACGAGACGAAAAGAGAAGGAGGCGTATGTATAGGTGGCCTTTGCCAGAGTTTCGGCAAGTCGGCGATTCTGGACTCGATCTCGGTGGTCCACCGTCCTTCGTTTCGTGCCGGCCGCTCCGCGTAAGGTAATTTCTTCCTCTCGCTCTCCCGCCACCAGGTCCGCCGTCTCTGGGTTCCCCTTTCTTCTCTCCTTCGCTCTTTCCGGATATCAATTATGTCCCTGTGCGCCGCGCGCATTGCCACGAAAGACCTACCGGTGTGTGTCTCACCTCCACGACGAGGAACCCGGGCCTCGCCTCGTTATCCCTCGCCGTGGGCGTCGAAATCCCTGTGTAAGGTCTCTCAGGAGCTACAAAGTGCAATTTAAGAAAATTCTCTGGTCTCTCTCTTCGTCCACACTTTTGCCTCTTTCGTCTCGTTATACCGTTCACTTTGTTGCCATCCCTCGCCCCCACCCGTTCCTAAATCTCGACGATAAATCGCGCCGCTGTCGGTCGCGTCTAAGGGGAAACTTATTTACCGAAGCTGCACGTTTTCTTCCATACTCTGCGTCTCCTCGTGTTCGAATATTCCGTTCACCGCGATGGTAGTTGGACGTCGTGCTGCTTCGCCAACGAAATAGTTCGCTTCTGTTCGGACCCTGTTCGCTCGTTCCGCTTTGTGGGCTTTGCAGAAAGGAAGCCGACGACGATTCGGTGCGATACAGTGAAAAGCTCGAACCCATCCGTCTATCGTTACACGTCGGCGCATGTAACACGCGACCTAACATAACGTAGAGTGCAACCATGAATTTCAATGTAATACGTAATCGACGTTTGACGAGATCGCCCGATCGCGTGGCGACTCACGTACTCGAACGATCACGTCGCGCATACATTTCTCCGGCTCGCGTTATTAAGTGTAACTGAGCGCAACAGCGTTATTATCCATTATGAAAATTCATCCGGTCGAAGAGGGTCCGAGTCCCTTTGTTCCATTCCTGTTCCTACGAAGGAACAGCGAGGAAGAATTCCGCGCGAGGCGGTGCCGACCTACGACCCCATTATGCACGGCCCGGACAGGGCGCGTGATTCATAATATTAGATTCGAGTCGGGGCCGAATAATGTAAATGCCGCGTGGAAGGGCCGTATATGCGCTATGGGCCCCCGTTCGAACAAGCGCAGGGGCGTCACGTTGGCGGCGAGCGGAACGATGCGGCGACAACGCGAGGACGACGACGCGACGCGACGGCTGAAACCCTGCAGCCACCCACACCCACGCGTCGGACCCTTAAATCTCCATTCTCAGGCGCGCCCGATCCTTTCGGATCTTCCCTGCGCCCCGTGTATCTCCTCTGCACCTCGGTTCCTCGTATACGTGGTGCGTTTAAAAAGTAATGAGTGCTCCGACGATGTTCATGCAAATGCGTGTCTAAAAAATACATAAAATAATAGACAGAGAGCGTATTTAAATCTCCGATCGATCGACGCACGAATATTAACGTCGCGGCTGTGAGAAGTGAAGAAAGACGTTATCGGGATAATAAGATCTGCAAGGAATTTTGTTCGATACGAGAAGAGAGATGTTAGTTTCGCGAGAGTTTGGCCGAGTCGTAATTACGCAGGAGAATTTACTCGAAACTGGAATGGAAATGCGAAAGTCGCCGCGAAAACTAGTTGGCGAATTCGCAAAGAGATTTGCAAGTGAAAGTCCCGGTTGTATGCGATTTCCCGGGCGAATATCCGGCCGGCACCACTAAATATCGTTACCCTGAGTTATTATTGGCTGGAACCGAGTTCCAGCGATATTTCCCGCTGTGAGGTGGGGATTAACGATTTCCAGCTCGTACATTTGTCACGATCGTCTAACTAATTGTCTGGTTAACTTTGTACGAGTCAGCGTGGCGAACCGGAGTCGTCCAGGGCAAGGACAAGGTTCCCCTATTAGGGACGATCTTCTGTTAAAAGCATTTTTAAATACACGATCCTATCTATGTGGATCGAAAGATCTCATGGTCATTGACTCTCGTCCCGTCTCTGTTTTACACGACGATCCTCGCACCACCCAAACTTCTCGGCGACGGTACGGGATGATTCTACCTAACAGTTCGTTAAGACGCATAGTTGTCCCCGTTTGAGAATAAAATCGTGATATGTAAAAATCGTTCCTTCTAATTGTTTTGATAAGAAATTCAAAGAACGAGATGCATCGCGTGCGAATTCTAGCTGATTTTGCACGATATATTTTTATTAGTAGAATCAGGAAAGGAACGGAAATTCTCTTCTGATCTCGACCTAGTTACCAGAATCAGCCTGTATAAACGAGGTATTTCGACTCGCGTGTGTATTGTGAAAGAGGGCCATGAAATTAAGAGAAGGTATCTTGGCTATCGTTACGTATTCTTTCGTTTCCATCTTATCGTTCCTTCCATCGGCCTCGCTCGAACTTCATTTGCCCGGGCTTAAAAGTCCGAACGGCTTCTAATTAGGGGATAGTCGAAACAAAATATGCCCAATCTCAGAAACGTTTAAGATAGGGAACATCGATCTGCCGAGTGGCATACCAGTTCTCGGAACGAGAGAGAATGTACTTGATAAGATAACGTTCTCCGCCCTCGCCGTTCCTTGTTCCTCTTCTTTTTCCTTCTCGCCTGGAACAGGCATCATCAATTCTGTTTTGTTAGGATTTTAAATGATTTTACGTGTTCCGTGTGCTTTTGAAGTTAGCGTTTCGGATCAGATAAGTGGTGAGAAATGTG